CGGGGATTAGAACATATGTGAGCTTACTGAAAACGTTGTTATGGTAGAATGGTGTATGTTAAAAAACTAGTTAACTGCACAGAGTACATAAATTGAGTAGGTAATAGTTTCTCAGTTACTCAGAAAATTCTCAGAATTTTATGGAGCCCGAAGGTTTACTACCATGTTCACAAGGACACGCCATTCAACAACAGAAGGTGTCCATTGTTAGTGTGAATAGTGTCATATGACATTATCTGTCTGTTATACGCACTGCAGTTTCTAACACCACATTCAAAGCCCTGGTGCCCGTTTCATAGACCGGATGGACCCCGGACCCAGTCTGGACGCTGCGTAGAAGAGAAATATCCCTGCCTCTACATGAACTCGAGCCCCAGGCCGTCCAACCCGTAGCCTGTCGCTATACCAATTGAGCTGTCGTCATATTGCGACATGACGGCTGAAAGCAGGAACAGCGGACCTGGAAGATATTCATTCCTACGCAAAGGCCGGTAAACACGTTTCCGCTGCGAACATAACACGCTGCCGCATCAACAATACCCGGATTATCGGCAGGCAACAGCCTGCTTAACATGTCACTCAACAATATAAGAATTATTGGAAGCGGTGTTTTCTGTTCGGTTCGTGCCGAGACTATGTAATGAGGACACCTGCCGAGCGCCGACCTCTCCTTCATCGAAAAGGAGCCCAGTATCTCTCGTCGAACTGTAAATAAGTTGCTGATCCAAAGAATGATTACCAGAACTTATTTATGTTATGGACGAGTACACAGAAAGAAACTCTTTGACGTCTGAACTTGTACAAGTTTCCCCTCCGCCAATGATTGATGCATTGTCAGTTCATGTCATTCTTATCGTCATGTCTGTTCTGCACTCCTTCACCCTGCCGACCCTCGTGTGTTGTGTGAATGTGTCGGGTTCGCCAGAACGCAGGTGATCCGTCACTCAGATCCAATCACGAACACGGATACAGATAACTCGGAACAAAGCTCAAGTCTGACACTCTATATGTTAACCTTGACATGGCTCCACTTAGATGAAACTGTCGTTCTCCTGAGACGAAATGGATATCATATGAAGGGCTAAAAGATGTTCCATGGTCGAAGTCAGTTTTAAATAGAGTTTTGAGAACAATAATTATAGAACATTCAGTTTATTGTTGGCTTCAGAATATGTTCCTTCGTCCGCATTATAAATTATTAAAAACATATGTATAGGATAGGTAAATATAGGTACAGGTTTAACACTATGTAACTTGGTACCAATCTACCAAACTACAAGGGCGTCACATCAAAGAAGATTTTCATCTTAATATTCTCCGCCGAAAGTACCTCAAATAACAGAACTACATGAAATATTTTTAGAATAGTACCTGGGTTTAAATGATTGAGGTTATCTTTCAGTTTCTCTCTTGCTTATTTTACTACGCTCTCTGTATGTAGACTTTATAACGTCCAGTTATAGGATGATGAATTGTAAAGGATTTAGAAGGAAACATTGATGACCCAATCGAGATGCTACCCCAATATTTGTCCGGAGGGACAGAGAAAGACAACGAAAAACCTCACAATATCTAGTGTCCCGGTCGACATCTGAACCGAATGCAAGAGCAGAGCGCTACCGGCAAGCAAATTAGCCCGATCTTAGCGCGGAACTAGCGGATTCCGTTAAGGGGAATTGATAACGGTGTTGCTTCTGGCTGATTTGGTTCCGTGTTGGGCCGGATTCTGTTCCAGGTTTCGCTCTGTGTATCCCAGCCCATAGTAGGAAAACTTCCTGTCTTCATCGAGTCAACAGTCCCCTGTACCGCCACGTCTGTGTTTTGTGTGTTGTGGAGAACCGCTACTTGTATGAGGTTGCCACACTACTGTCATCAGACAGTACTGTTGGTAAAGCTGTTCCCTTACAGGAGAATCAGTCCTGTTCAGTCCCACAGCGAAATTCACAGGGTGTTGGTAGCTGTGGAGGGGGATGATTTCTGTTAGCCTTTTTTTTTATTATTATTTAAGTCCATATATAGATGAAATTATTGGGGATCATCAGTGTCGGTTTCGCCGTAACAGATCAGATCTTTTGCATTCGTCAGA